GTTGATATGCTGTAATTACAACATGTGTTATGTTTATGCTGCAAATTTGATTAGGGAGTGATAAAGTTGGTGCTTTCTACTATATATTATCAAAATATTCATTGTTAATATTTTAAACCTATAACACCCTGCTACATTTTTATTATTTGTGTTTGATAAGAAAAAAACTAAGATTTCATAGTTGGGCCAACTGAAGTGGGAAGGGACTCGTGTATATACTTATATATATATATATATGGCAAAAGATACAATTAATTGTCAGTTGGAAAATTGGCAAACTTTTAAGCTTAGTTAACTCTTTTGACGATAAAATCAAGCTTTCGGCGATTCTCTATGGATTTTTTGCCCAACTGGTCGTTGGCAATGGAAATGACTACTGCTCATATATATATATATATATAAAGAGAAAATTATCATGCGGAGAAAGGTATATAACAAAAATAGGAAAATAATGGGCAAAATCCGCAAAAAGTGGATTCGAGCAGAAATAGTATAGGTAACCCGAGCGATACGTATTTCTGCTGGTTGGCTTCATCAGCCCCGAAATGAATGCACATATGCAACTACAAAAGTTCGGGATACGGGTGTAATCTGAGGAAACGAAGATGGAGAGGAAAAAAGACACACGAAGTCCACAACAACAGCCAACCTACACATTGTAGTATAAATGGCTAGAAGATCTCGAATTCTCAAGGCGACAAATAACCACAACCACGCGGCCGGTTATACCCACTTGCTGTGGTACTTCAAGCCCAAAGGATCTACAAAGAGAAAATTATCATGTGGAGAAAGGTATATAACAAAAATAGGAAAATAATGGGCAAAAATCGGCAAAAAGTGGATTCGATACTACAATGTGTAGGTTGGCTGTTGTTGTGGACTTCGTGTGTCTTTTTTTCCTCTCCATCTTCGTTTCCTCAGGTTGCACCCGTATCCGGATTGTGTGGGCATGTGTATCTACTTTGTAGTTACATATGTGCATTCATTTTGGGCCTGATGAAGCCAACCAGCAAAAATACGCTCGGGTTACCTATCCTATTTTTTGCGCGAATCCAGTTTCCTCCTTTTTGCTGATTTTGCCCATAATTTTCCTACTTCTTGTTATATACCTTTCTCCGCACGATCATTTTCTTTCTGTTGATCCTTTGAGCTTGAAGTACCACAGCAAGTGGCTATAACCGACCGCGTGGTTGTGGTTAGATGTCTCCTGAAATTCGAGGTCTTCTAGCCATTTTTATACTACAAGGTGTAGGTTGGCTCTTGTTGTGGACTTCGTGTGCTGTTTTTTTCTCTCCATCTTCATTTCCTCCTCCCCGTCTCCGAATGTGTGGGCATGTGTATCTACTTTTGTAGTTGCATTCATTTCGGGCCTGATGAAGCCAACCAGCAGAAAAACGTATCGCTCGGGTTACCTATCCTATTTTCTGCTCGAATCCACTTTCCTCCTTTTTGCGGATTTTGTCCATTATTTTCATACTTGTTATGTTGTGATTCTTCGATCGAATGTGATGTAAATGGTACTTACAAACGAATTTCGGAAATTCCACCCCTAAAAAGTAATGAGTGGTGATTAACACTTTTTGAGTTGGTGCTGGAAATGTAGAATATTTCAAATTAAGGCAGCCTAGAAGTATGAGCGCGTTTTGTGTCCAATTTTATCTTCAAACTATTATTGAAGAGTCATAAAAACCATGTAGTATAGGAGTGGGTTGAATATTTCTAGGAACCTTATCAATTTTTGAGTTCATAAAAAATTCTCTCGAACATCATTTGACCGATGAACATTAAGCTTGGCAGGGAAATAGTTTCAGTTTTCTGCTGGATACCTAAAAATTGGCAATAATGAGGGTGCTAGTTAGAGTAGACTTAAACTAAGAATGGAATACGTAACCCGGAATGTAGGTGGGAGGCCCCCAATTTTTAAAATGAGTAATTTGGTTTAATTTAAAATGTTAACTTCACAATTTTGGTAATTTTAATACCGCCCCGCGGTTTTAACCAAATATCCCAAGTTACAAGTTTGTCTGTCAAATTACTAATGCCATCAAATTGACAAAGAGTGGTCGTAAGGTATCGCAATACTTAAAAGCTATATTTTATGTTAGTACCAATTTCAGGCTTTAGAAGTCGCGGGTAACAGCTAGCACCTATTACGTATAAGCCGACGTTTAAGTAGCCTTTCGCTTCAGTGCACATTCACTATTTTCAAGAATCTCTATCTGTAAGACCAGCGATCTAATGAAAAAAGAGACGGTCAAATAAAAATCAAATTAATCTAAATAGGTTTAATTTCTTCATTAACATGTTAAAATATACATCACGAAAACGGAAGTAACAGGACACAAGTCATGGACACAACTATGTAAGCGTCACACAGTGCAGATAGTAACAAATAAGAAAAAGATTTACAAATTACAATAAATACAGACAGCACACTGAAAAATACTGCCACCCTATCAAGAACTGTTTGAATTCCTTTGAATAGTTAGACTCTTGGCGAAGACGCCAGTGAATAAGGAAGCCCTGTCATAGGCGACATATTTTACAGTATAATATTTCTCCAAACTGCCATTTCTCATGCACGGTGTTCAATAGCAGCCCCGTCGTCAAAATTTGCAATCGTTGTCGTGTTTATCATGTTGTCACAGCTCTGATACCAAGAGTACTGACGACCAGCATATAGTGTCTAAACGTAGTAAGCTGTCAAAATACTTTTATCCAATGTTTCACGTGATTATTGCAATCACGATCGCGATATAGTTAACCCACTGTAGCAGTTTACTTTTTATGCAAGACCGTCCAAAACAATTAACAGTTTTTATGAGTCATATGAGATCTGCAACACGAAAGTTGTGGCACTCATTTCCGTCGGTCTGTCGGTCTATCCGCTGATCCAAGGCGTGTATATAACTTGTAAAGTACCGCTCGGATTTGATAAGATTTTCACAAAGGCTTCAACTACAAGACGAAAAAGCTTTATAGTTTTTGGTATGTTTCTGTTTTTCTTTTTATGTCCGGAAATTGAAGTTTGTCAGCCCAGCAACGGACTACGTTCAAAGCTGCTTGCTTTGTTCAACCATAAGTCGTCGGGGTCGCAAGTGGCAGGTCAAGAGATGTTTGTATAGCGCCGCAGCCACACTTAGTATCTCCTTCAGGTCTAAGGCCCCATTTAATTTGGTTAATTTTTACTGGCGCTATGCCTGTTCTAATACGATTCAGTGTTCTCCAAGTCGACCACTCGGAGTCAGTACCGCTGGGTATCTCTAGGATGAGCGGGTAGTTGGCAGGTGAAACCGTCCAAAGTCAAATCCAGAAGTCTTCTAAGTGTCTTTAATTGGAGGATAGATAATGATGCTCATCAATTGTTTGCTTACACTCTTCTGTGAACGCATGCGCCTGTCTCGGTAGTTCGGACTGTCAAAGCCTATGGATCTTATTGATTTGGGTAGACTTCTTGCAGACTGTTATTTAATATGATGTTTTATCGAGGCGGGCATCAATTTGTTTTTTTTTTTTGGCGTGGGTTGATTTGGACCAGATTGGGCAACATATTCTGCCGTGCCTGGCGATAGTTCTTAGGACAGTCGGGCCTAGCTCCTCATTTGCTGTAGGCGAGGAGTTTCTGAGTATATTGTTCTAGCAACAACTTTCTGGCGGGTATTTACACAATGATATCTCTATGTAAGTGAACTATCCAGTGTGACGTCTAGGTAGGTTGATGTCCTAGTGAAACACTATAATATTTGCCTGACAGGTCTTAAGTTGGAAGGCACTTTCGTGTGTCTAATTTGTTTGAGTCAGTGGTGCCAAGACTGCCAAAAACAAATTATTAATTTATATATATTGTATATATTATGCTAACTCATCGGTGTATATGAAATGTTTGGTATACTCTGATGTTGGTGCGTATTATTATTTTGTCTCCTACATCGACTGTTTCGTCAGCACAACACAGAATTTCCTGTTTTGTAAACTGTTAGTATTTAGGTCTGTCATAGAGTTTGGTCATCAGAATCCTGTGGTTAACTGTATCCTAGGCGGATCTTAGGTTCAACCAATGCTAGCCCTGCTATTAGTTTGCTTTTATATCCGCCTTCTATGTGTTCCAAAAGGTTGAGGATTTGACTAGTACATGACTTCCCAGGTCTAAGGCCCGTATCGCCAGTCGTCCCTACAATTGTAGGGCGCCTTTATGGCCTCCTTGATTGTCATAGTTTTCTACTTCTCCGTGTTAGAACTCTATTTTGAGGTTATGTCACAAACATCTATTTGCATCAAATTGTGCTTGCTTTTGAGTTATATCATGTTTTATCAGCCTGAAATTTCCTACAATTTAAAAAGAAAACATATCTTCACAAGAGGAGAGCGCTGACGCTGACACGGAACAAGTGTAATCTAGAAATTTTTGAAGGAGAGAAAGGAGTATGACAATCAAGGAGGCCATAAGCGCGCCCTACAATTGCAGAGACGACTGACAATTCGGGCCTAAACCCAGCTTGTTGTGGAATAGGCTTTTGGTCGACGATGTTTGCAATGCGGTCGAGTGTCAGTCTTTCATATGATTTAAAAGGTGACATAGAAATGGAATAGGTCGATAGTTTTTGGAAGAGTCAGTGTCCTTGCCAGATTTTCGTCATGCTATAACTTTTCTTTTGGGACTTTGCACTCGTCGCGACACTGATTGGAGAGGTCCAGGACCCAGTTTTTAGCACCTAGCAAAAAATTTAATATTTGTTCCACGCATATATCATCTACTCTCGCAGCTTTTCCATTTTTGTGTGAATTCCTTGATTGCGTAAAAGGTAATTCAATGATATTATGTTCGAGTTGTCGCTTCCATACTGGTGTGGATGGTCCTCCATGCAAAATTAGTCATAGCAACGTCAACGTATTTTTTGTTAAACATGTTCGTAGCTAACTTTTTTAAATAGCTAACCTATGCCGATCATAAACCTTTATGAACTGATGACAGGGTAATAGTTTTTAGTTATGTGGAAGTATATAATCAACCTACTTTACAACTACTTTTTGTTCACTGTTTGAATTGGAATTAGAAATGCTTCTGATCCGCCACTGATCGGCGGCCCGCTAGGTTTTCCGTTGAGCCTGCGGCGGGCGGCATGGGGCCCCGCGTTGAGTCAGACGACAACGGACCGGCCTGCCAGACCTCCGATCCGCGAAGCGCCAACGGTGGTGGTTTATTGTTTCGCGAAGAGCGCTCCTGTACTAACGCGCCTACCGCAACTTCGTGCTTCGAGCGCTTACTTTTGCCAGACACATTCATACCTGTATTCGACATGGCTGTGTTCACACTTCATCTCGCGATCGTCGCGCTATGTGTGGTTTTCGTAAATTGCCAGGATGCAACAACCCTTGCCCCGCAGACATCCCCTCAAGAGGCAGCCGATGCTCCAGCGGCAGCTGATGCTGAAGCAGCAGCAGATGCCCCAGCGCCAGAAACCTCCCCTCAACCAGAGCCTACTAACCGTTCGGTTCCAAAAGATGTAGTTGTGCCAGAACAGGTGAGTTTTTCCTCTTCAAGGTCTATCGCTTTTTCAAGTACGTTGTTAAATTCTAAGTAATAGTGTTGAAGATTGTTGAGTTCTAAGTATTAGCGCTTTAGACACAGTTCTCTGTTTGCGTCTAACTCATTCTCCATCTGCAAACATGAAATGTGTCGTCTTCCAAGCTCTCTCCTATCTACGTACCTTACAAAAGTGCATACATATATGCATCGTACATATTACATACGAATGACACTATAAAAACATTGTTTATAAAACCAATTACATTTTTGTCTCCCCCACTTTTCCCATTAAATATGGACTATCAGCAATATGAATACTTCACCAAGCGCTAGTTTTAGAAGTTTGTAGATATCTGTCGTACTATCGACTTAAATTATTGCCTTTCTCATCCAAATACGCTCTTCACCCAGTCACCACTGTAATAAATGCCGCCACCAGTATTTACTGCAGATCCTACGTAAAGCTTGCGTAGATGAACAGACAGAAGGAGTACGTGTTATTCCATCGCGATAATATTAAAATGCATTAATACAATAATAGCTCATTGAACTTCTTCGTGGTAGATAGCTGTCAGAGAATTCCACTGCAATGGACTTACGAAAGCCCAGTTTGAATTACGGCAAAACCGTTTATAGTGAAAGAAGTGCTAAATAAGATCCACATTTAGCAAACGTCGTTGAACAAATCAATCAAGTCCCTCAATACCTCACACAAATAGTTTTCCGACTGATTTTCTCTAGGACTTCAAAGCAAACATTAGGATATTTTCATTGTTATGAATTGTGAGAGATGGCATACTTGTTCAGTGGTTTGAATGCGCCTAAGCATTTTTGGGAAGGTTAATACCAGCCCTGGTTACATTGTATTTCTCTACCAGTTTCCTCTCACAATGTCAGTTAATAATCAGATATTTCCAACAAATAATTTAAGGCTAACAGAGACTGTCAAATACTCTCATCAAAACAAATTGATGATACGATGTTGCTTAGCTTCGCGCTCAACTAATCTGGTGCACTACAAATCTTCGTAACGAAATATTAGAAATTCATTGTTTGAGAGAACTGAATACAATCTATAGGATCATTCTGCTTTACTGTTTCTAACTTATAGTACCCCATCCAGAACCCTTGGATTCATTACCAAATTTAGGTTCGCCAAAAACATTGGCTACTTCTTGTGGTCTAATGGCTAATTAAAGCGGACGCTCTTCATCCCCTGTATTTCCATAGTTAAGGTGTTCCTTCAGACCATTCTGTTGATTTACTGTTGATTTTGTCCAATGAGAGTAGATATAAGAGCTGTTATGTTAAATATTACTGTTGCTCCCTCGTGCAAACTCTCAGAAATGACCAAAGCCAAAAAATTATAACAAAACCTGAAAAGTAACTATTTTCGCGTTGGCTGTAATTACGAGTCATACGCTTTTAGCGATTTGTTTTCTTACAAGTTTCAAAACTTTTTTTTTCACGCTTGCGCTGTCAATGTTACGATTGTTACTTGTGCTTCAATACTCCCATGTTATATCCGTTACGAGCAGAAAGGCCTACAAACTTCGCTTTTTTTCAATGTTTCACCAACTTTATCACTAATTGTACAATGTAGAAGAAAGCGCGGCATTGTCATCAAATTTGAATGCTACGCGAAATAAATTTATTGAAACTGCCTCGCGCTAAAGTAATCGATGTACGACACTGTTCATGTATAGGAATCCGAGGACTTGAGGAATGGGGTGCAATTCACCACCTGGAACGAGATCACCAACGGTCATACTCGTACATTCCCGACAACAATTAATCGGGTTCATTCATGGATTAAAATTGTATTTTAGATATTAACTAATTGTAATTGTTGTAAAAATGATATATGGGTGAATATCCGGTATTTTAGCTTTCAATGTTCCACCAAAAGAATCCTAATCAAAGAGACATATTGTGTAAATAAACCACCCTGTAAAATTATGATGCTTTGAAACATTTAATGAAATTGAGATAACAATTAAAATTTAGGCGCAATCTGCTTGAAAACTAACAAAAAGCATCATGCTCGATTTCCATCTTTCACTACAAATATCAACCGATGTCTATATATGTAACTGGTATTACAATATACGAATATTCTTTGTATTACTAGATACACATTATGACATATCTTCGTGAAAAGAATCACTAAAAACTGAGTAGCAAATCAAGAAATGGTAGTTTGAAACTAGCGCGTTTCGGCTTACTGAAACCGCGTCATTTACTGATGTAATGTCGGCCGATACCTTGTTGCCAGTATTTCCAGTATTTACTCTGGTAAGTATATCTCTGTGAAGTCCAATGGTATATTACTGCAACTATGTAGAAAACAACGATTCTTAATTACAAAAGCCCTGAATCACATTCAACAATATAATAATGTATCTTAATTTTTTTCGATGTCATGTACGTTTTTGTCACTACTCTGGCGTTACTTCACTAGCAGGAATGGTTTCAATTGTTTTTCCATTCCTGTTATTTTATCAATTTCTACTTGATGCCATTTCTTCCCAATAAAAAAACTTATAACCAATGAAAGCAACTGCTGCGAACCGCTATCAAAAAAATCTGGATTCCAAACACAACAGTTATCCTGAGGGTGCGTGGGCTCTCAATCTATTCCTTGCTTTTATTTCAAGGCCGATGCAACTAAAGACTTTTTTAGCTAATGGTATTTATATGTTTATAGAATGGGGTCACACATTTCCCCCTGCGTCCCATAAACACTGTCAAAACTATTATATCTGACCCTGGCAAATATGTATCACATATAGACAGAAAAAATATGAAAATAAAATAAGCTATTTTTCTTAGTTCACACTGAAGAACCAAATACCGTTTATCCACCCATATCCTTAAAAATTTAAAATGTTTACTCATATGACCTTACACGAGGTCGTTTAAGGTACAAAGTTTTCCGTATACCATAGTTTCGTATTATCTTAGATACTGTAGAGATAGATGCTGAGAAAAATATGTATCGACATCAAGGATACAATAAACATGCAGTGTACAAGAAAACTCATTAGCAACAAAAACCTTATAATAGTATGACCTGCAAGACCAAAGTCAGTTCTTACTCATTTTTTGAGTTCGTCTCACTGACAAGTTAAAATAGATATGCTGCAAGTCACAGAGAATCGAGTCCGTATTCGTATTTTCAGTTATTGATTTCATTGTATTGATAACACAATTATGAAACTTCCGCTCAAGTTTAAGGACAGGAGAACTTCATTGAAACATGAGGCATTTATTAAATATCATTACAGCATTCGATCACGGTGGTATCGATATGAACGTAATGCAACTAAAATGGGTTATTGCCATGTAAAATATGTCTACCGTTATTTATCTGCGACACACAGATACTAAGCAAAGTCTTTTAAATCAGATATAGATTGAATTGAATCACAATCAAATATAAATTTCTGATAAACTAAACGTTGCCAATAAGTATTTATACTTGCCTTACTAGGAACTTGAGGAATTAAAAAATTTGGCACATAGTCGAACAATAAAAATAGAAAACCGATTGTTTAATACATGTGAACTCACAGGTAAATAATTAGTGTAGCATATGTATAAATATTAAAGTACATTTATAGAAACATGCACACATACTAGTGGTTGTAAAAGTAACGTATTTTAGGAAAAGATCAGTCATATGACATACACAATAGAGGAATTGGTCATCGAATTTTATAAGATAAAGACATAACACACTAAAGTGGAGAATCGATACATTTCTTCACATTGCCAGCTTGTATTATGTAATGTTTAATTGAAGAATTTCTTACATCTTGTGAAATATTGCTAAATATATCTGTCTGTATTTGACCTAGTTTTAAATTATTTTAGTTCAAAGTCATTATCACCAGCAAAGATCACTACCACTCTTCCTAGAACTTCGAACATTCTAGATATATTTCGCAAGCTTTTAATTTCTTTGTCCCTTACTGATATTTGCCTCCATGGCTGCTTAGGCATAAAAAGGCATTTTTATTATTCATATTTCATGAATATAAAATTATGCAAAAATTCAGTATTCCAGAAGTGAATGAAGATTCTGACAAGAATCGAGAGAGCTATGACCGATTGCTTTCTCTTGATATGCTAAACATCAATTTGATGTCTTGATGAATATGTAACGAGTTTCATTCACAACTTACTAAGTGGATGACTACACTATTGAAAACAATGCCGCATATCTTTGCATTATTTATATCAATTGTATGTCATTATTGGTGTATTCAGATCTCTACAGAAGAAATAGTAAAATTACCCTGTTAGAATAGAACAGAAAATCATTTATTTAGCTTTAAGCTACTTCAAACAATCATAAACATTACTTGCAAAAAATGTGTTAAATTTACAAAGTGGTCGTCACATCAAACCAAAATAGTCTCTCCGAAGTCTCTTTTTATAAATGATAGCATTACCAGATGTTTTTAAAATACTAAGCAGATTGTTTGATACATTTTTAGACCTTCAATAAACATTGACTTCTCTAAACCTTTAGATTTAAACCTTTGTGTATGGAAGTTTCTTTTGATCTAATTCCGTAACCTTGCATTTTAAATCTTTTTTCTTAGAAACTGTTCTAGATAAGGTGGAGCCTAAATATTGTTAGTTATACATAAAATAATTAAATTTGCCTATTAAATGATATGGTGTTGTTTAGCATATGCTGTATAGGGGTATACCTGGTACAGTTTTATAATATCCGCAGATATTTAATAGGATTTGTAACATTTGCTTTTCCTCATTTATGCAAGTATGTATGTACTCAAACTGATGTACAATAAGTAAACTTAGGAATAATTATTATTATATTGCGCTAGGATTTAGAATGTCACAAATTCTACGAAAAAATATTCTTTGTAGACCGAGGTTGAACTACTGCCTCGCATTTCGACTCTGTTATCTGTCCACTGACAAGGGGCAGTTCAATACTTCGTAAAAACAGTACTGTATTTTAATGAAAAGAGAAACCATTCATTCGACGCTGACGCAGCTGGGATATCCTTTAGACCTTGA